GGTGGAAAAGACTGATTTTTCAACTAAGTAAAAATAAAATTGGGTTTTTATGAAACACCACATGTAACTGATGATAAGTGGTAGGTCAGTTGGAGTAAAAGCCTAAATATGGAAGGTAAAATCACAAAGCCAAAAGAAAAAGGTGTACACCTATGTGACCTGAATCTCAAAGAAGTTTATTCAATGTACAACCTGAGTTCATTAGCCAGACACATAAAACAAGAGATGAATATGAATGGAGAAAATGTAAGTGTATAGTGAGGAAAGGTATCACAATTATAACAGACAAATCACAAAACGGAACAATATATTTAAAATGTCTACAAACAACAAGGAATTAATGCCTAGAACTGAGAAAGAACTTTATAAATCAATAAGAAAAAAATGGCAACTGCAATAGGATAATGGGTAAAGGGCATTAACAGGCAATAAACAGACAAAACTCACTATACAAACATGAAGAAATGCTCAAATTTGTTAGTTACCAAAGAACTGCTAATTAAGATAACAATAAACTATCATTTTTCTATTAGCCTGGCAAAATATTAGAAATCCAAGTAAAGGCAAAGTTGGCAGGAATAGAGAAATTCTCATGTAGGGATGGCTGGACTGTGGTCCCACCACTGTGGAAGACAACATGAAAGCACTTCCTCAAATTAAGCACATGTGTCTCCCTTTGACTGAACAGCAATTCTCCACATGATTAAGCCCTCTGGGGAGTGTTGGTGGGGGGGCACATACAAGGACATTCCTTGTGATGGTATTAGTAGGATATGGGAGTTGGAGGCAAGAAGAGATGGATGGCATCTCTGCAAACCAGATACACAGGGTTAGACACCATGGAGCAGGCAGAAGCTGCACTTTGGAAGTAGAGGACCATGGGTGGCTTCTGATACAATGCTAATAGAAAACAAAGAAACAGAAAAAGACATAAAACCATCTCTATAACTTAAAAACACAAGTAGATAAAAGATACACATTGTCCAAGAAAATAATTTTAAAGGACACATAAGAATGGTGGCCAATAGAGAAAGTAGTAGAGTTGGGAAAAGGGAACGAAAAATAAATGAAAGAGTGAATGAGGCCCTGGTGGCCAGGGTGGCCAGCAGGTTAGGACGCAGCACTGCAGGTGAGCCATGGTCGCTGCAGTGCCAGTTCTATCCCCTCCCCAGAGGTGATCCACATGGCGTGGCAGACCTCTCCTGGCCTGCCCACTGCTCCCCTCAGCAGTGTACTTTGTCCTGCTCCCCACTCTGTCTCTGGTGAAGGCTATTACCGCCTCTGAACCTCTGGCTTGTACCCCAGTTCTGTATGCATAAATACATAAAATCTTAAAAAAAAAAAAAAAAAGAGTGAATGAATAAATGGAGTAGCCTGTGATAACATGCCCAATCAGAGAGGATGATTAATGTAAGCCCCTACCCTCTGCATGAACTTGAAATAGAACATAGAGAAGAGGAGAATAAAAGGGTTCTGCAAAGAAAGGGGCATGTATTTCTCTGCCATTCTCTCCCAGAGAGCTGGACCATTGGGAAAATACCAGTAATTGACAGACAATAGTACTTAGGGCCCTATGCTAGACCCTACAGGCACTGTATGTCTGAAATGAATTTCAAGATAAAAGCAACCAATTCAAAAGTGTCCTAAAAATATGCTCCCTGCCCCTTTAAAGCATCCTGACTCAAAAACACTGACTTTCAAATTCCCACCAAAACATTTTCATTTCTGCAAAGAAAAATGCCAGACATTTAGCATTTGGATTGAGTAGTAAAGAACCATGCAGTACTCCTAAATTTACATCACACTGACTTCTTTCCTTCAGAAGAGTTGTGATTGTGGTCTAAGCAGAAAGACTTTTGCAAAGCAATCAGACCATGGACAACAGTGCCACCTGTGGTTGAATAGCCCTGTAGGTGGGTGTGGGATGAGAATGCAAGTCACAATGCTATGGACAAGTACAACCACTCTGAGAGTGCAGGGGAGCTAAGGAATCGGCTTGGTGTGAGAAGGCGGTCTTTTTCAGTGTCAGAGGAGGTGAGGAAGCACCAACCTAGAACACTGACCTGATTTTGTCAGCTTGGAACCTCTTTCAGAATAATACATTAGAAAATTAATTTCTATCAAAACCACTCTTTAAAAAGAGGCCAATATGTTTTAACCCACATTTTATTGTCTGGTTTGCTAAATTAAGGATTAGTTACTGAAGAAGCAACAGAGACTAAAGGCAGCAAACTCTACTCTTCATGAAGGGAAGCCAAAAGCAAAATGTAGCAAGTGTCTAAACTTTTGAAAATGGAACTTTTCACATTATTCTTTTCCCAGGGAGGTAGACTATCCTTGTGGTTAACAGCAGAGCCTTTAGCATTAGACAGAAATGAGATTAAATCATGTCTCAATTTTACTAGTCTCTATTTCCTAATCTACGAAGTTAGAAAGTAGGTCAAAAGTTCCTATCTCATAGAGTGTTGCAAGTTTAAGTGAGCTAATGTGCACAAAACATGCTTGGAACACTGAGGTCTTATAAATGTTACCTATTAATAGCTATTATTGCAAAATACAGGCTTTTAGTAGGCAATGTGAAATACAGACCAGTAGAAGGTCAGTGTCTTCTGATAATCTCAACTTTCTATCCTGATTAAGAGTCTGGTGGGCCCTCCCTGGTGGCGCAGCGGGTTAAAGCACTGCACTAAGAAACTAAAGCCACTTCTGCAAGAGTTCGATCCCCGCCTGCCCCGGAGGCGACCACATGGCGAGGCAGACCTCTCCTGACCCGCCCGCTGCTCCCCTCAGCAG